TACACCCTCCTGTCTCAGATACAGGCCTGTGGATGCCTTGTCTTATACATTGTTTGTAAGTGTGTTAATCAAATATCAGTTTCTGGTTAACAAAACAAAAAAAATCTGAGTTCAGGCAGAAACTATATCTATGCATATTTATTTCTGATAAAGAACAGTACATAACTACCATTCAGATTAGGTGCAGCCATTGGGTTCTTAGCAAGATGTCAATATAGCCCCAAGTAACATTATGTTTGGCACCCTTAAGAAAGGGTAATGGAGAACATTTTTGACAAGAGGTAAGATTTCAGTATCTTAAAACAATTGACTTCTACCAGAAGGAAACAGGAATGAAGTCAATTAACAACCAGGCAAGCCTGTTCTGATGGTGAGAAAGACAAAAGGTGAATCACCACAACAGACAGATGCAACAAAATTTTGAGATAGGTAAGAGTTTCAATACCAGAAGCAGCATTTGAAAACAAGCAGTTTAGAAGTTGCAGACTGTATGCTGTACGCATGAATGCACATGCTAGCATTCTCCTCTTCTTCCTCCTCAGTAGCTATGTTTTAAACACAAAGTCTTGGGTTAAAAAGAAATAAATTTGAACAAGAATTAAGAGTTGCAATAGATTTGTCTACTTAATGAGGTTTATAAAGAGATGAAAGAAAAAAAAATTCACTATCGCAACACTAGTTACTAAGTTAACCCCATCATCACAAACAGCTTCTGATTTTTAAAGCAACACAAGACTAAACAGACACTTATTACAGATTATTACTATGCTTATAAGTTACATCAGTTAAAAGAAAAAAAGCCAAGCAGTTTTGCCCTATTCCAAAAATAGTTTCCAATCAACATGTATATGGTGAAAGGGACTATACAAATAAATGAGGACTGTTGACATCTTTGGGTCAATAATGACAAGAAAAAATGGGCTCTGTGCTACTGATCAACCTCAACAAGAATATGGCACAACGGCCAGCACAAGCCGTACCAACACTGAACCTTTTGCACTCATCACAAATTCAGATTCCTTTTCTTAAACTAGTATATCTGGTGAAATGACTGGGTAAAAAAAAGTTTAAAACTTAAGCCAAAAATTGGAAATTAAAACACACCTTTAGACTTAAAATAATTTTCTGTTGTTGTACCAGAGTTTATACATGCTAAAACCCATTGATTTCTCTCTAACAGATATAACTGGATTATTTTCCTTTCAACCCACTATTAGCTGCAAATACAATCTCAGATCTAAGAGATGTTAACGCAAAGGAGAAAAAAATTATAGCATCTGAACAACATTCTCTACAAACAGCTGTTGGGAGAAAAAAATAAAAGGAATAAAGAAAGGAAGTTTCCATCTGAAATTCTCACAATCTTTCCCAGTCCGTAGTTCAATGAATCCAACTCTGATGCTAAGGTGACAGTGTATATAAGTAGAATTTTTTTGTTGATTTTTTTATTTTTATTTTTTGAGTTTCACTGAAGAAAACCACGAAAGAGGCTGAAGTCTCTTCAGGAATTATCGGATGGAACATGCTCCTCAAATCCCTCACTCTCTCGGACCAAGGCTCTTTCCAGGATAACACGGCCTTCCTTGTAGCGCTGGCTGTCTTCAGTAGCAAATTCATAGATCCATCCCAGTTTGCTGTTGCAATTCTTGCAGCTCACATCTCGAACCATATGGCGACCAGTGAGCATGACCCGGTCTTGAACTTCACTGTATTGCAGATTTACCACCTAAGCAAAACATGAAGGGGATAAGGAGAAGGGTTAATCCTATTGTAGGCAAGAGTCTCAAAACTATTTCCCAGTTACTAGGAAATCCAAGGAACATCTGTCAAAGTATAAAATGTCTTAGGCTATGTCTACACAGGAACGTTATTCTGAAATAACTGACATTTTTAAATAAAGAATGTGTCTATACTACAAAGCCTTTATTTCAAAATAACATCGAGCTGGAGGACTTCTTACTCCACCTCCTGTAACCCTCATTTTACAAGGAGTAAGGGAAGTCGAAGGAAGAGTGCTCTTTCTTTGACTTCCTGCTGTGTAGACACTGCCAAAAGCTGAATTAAGCAATTTCAACTTAAGCTACGCAATTGACAACTTGTGTAGCTTAATTCAACTTCTGCCTGCTGTGTAGACATGCCCTTAGTGAAGGCTAGGGATGTGAATGGTCAACAGGTGAAGCTTATTGGTTCCTGTTAACCAGTAGTGGCTGGAGCAGCTCCCCGCACACCACAGGCAGGGGGCTGCTCCAGACCCATGAGGCTTGCTACAGTCCCCGTCTGCAGCAAGCCCAACCACGCCCCTCACCACAGTCAGGGGTTGCTCCAACCTATCAGCCAGCCAGAGCAGTCCCTGTCCATGGTAGGCTTGACCTGGCCCTCCCACTGCAGGCAAGGGCTGCTCCGATTGGCCACCCAGAGCAGCTTTTACTCAGTGGGGGGAGGGGGGGAGAACAGGGAGGGAGGAAGGCCTCCAGCACAGCTGGGCTGGAGTAGCCCCCTCAATCCATTCCCCTTTAATCGGTTAACCAATTAAACAGGATTTTACATCTCTAGTGAAGTATCTGTGGCACTGTGCATTAGGGATGTTAAGGACTAGTTGACTATCAATAAGCAAATGCTTATCGGATAGTCAGTCGATTTTACCTCCCCTTGCTGCCTTTATCAGATAAAGGCAGCAAAGGATGGGAAGAGGGGGTACTTCAAAGTGTCAGCACCGCACAGCTGAGCCCTGGCTCAGCTGTGCGGCACTGCCCCTTTGAAATGCCAAGGCATAGAGCCCGCGGTCAGCTGGGGACTCCCTAGCTGATCCCAGACTTCAGTGCGCCATTTCCGTGGAACCCAGGGAGCTCCCAGCTGACCCCGGGTTCTGGGGAAATGCCATGCGGAATCCATGGTAAGCTGGGGCGCTCCGCAGGAGCTATTGTACATTTCAAAGGAGGAATGCGGAAGTGCCTATTTACTAGTTGATGTGTCGATGGAAATTCATTGACTCCTCGACTAGTCAATTAGCCACAATTTAACATCAACACTGTGCATATTGGGGGCTGCAACATAATACTATCAACTATCAAAGTTCTCCTGCTTGGGTGGACAGCGCTTTCAAAGATCTACTTCACAACAGTGTTCTGAGACTATACTCTGTGTCAAGCACAGTGGGATCCTACCACCAAAATCACAAATGCAAAGTATAATTTAGTTTGCCCAACTAATCCATAACAATTAGATAAAGCTACTCATGATGTGACAGTTTAGTAACCCCTTGACATCAAGTCATTTCATGGTACCAAAACCACTGTTAGCAACAGGTCTCACAGGAAGGGATCAGTCAGTTTATTCACTGAAATATTAAGAGTTATTTTTTTTTCTAAACACAGTCTTTAAGAGGAGATTTAAGAGCAACAGAAGTCAATGAGACTTGTGCTCTTAAATCCCCTTGGGATTTCTGAAAATCTCAACTCAAGATAAACTGAGTGGGCTGACAAGAGCATGCCCTTTGCGGTTGGTACCAATGATCTCTTCCCTTCCTAGCAGCTTAAAAAAAATCCACCTTTAACTTGTTTAGGTCACTGAACAGGAGATAGTTACTTTTCAGCACATTTACACTAGTTTATGACAATTTAAATGAAGATTTAATTTAAGGAATATTATAACTTTACGGTGGTGCAGGTCAGGGTTGCAAAGATCAACAATCATAAAGCCTTAGCTCAGTGTTTCTCACAAATAGAATTTGGACCCAAATATCCAATACTTTTTAAGACCAGTATAAAGTCAGATTTCCTGCTGTATTTCCTTACATACATGTAGTATACAGAAGACGATTTGCATATATGAGCTATACACACCACAACAGTGGTTTCAGAAACCATGCATATTAACTTGTGTATTGAGTTGTAGATATAGATCTTGTTATAGTAATTGAGTTAGGTCACTAAAGGTCAGCCCAGCTGGTTTAGGCTAGTTCTAGTTAGTTCTGTGATTAAATAAAATGGACACTTGCAACTGCTCAAGCACTCTGTTTCCACTGATTTTTTCCTAAAGTGTGGAACACCACATGATATAACAAAGTGGCGACGAGGATGGAATATCTGTGCTGCCTCCAGCAACAGAAGAAGTTGAAGTCAATGTAAGAAAACAAACCTTTTTGCTGTTCTGGAAGGTGGGGGTAAGAACTGACTGTTACACTGACAGTGCAAACTGAATCTAAGATCAGTGGAGCCCAGAGGCTGGAAAATAAAGAGAAAGAAGGGAGTTGCAGCAGCCATGGCTACACTTACAGGGCCACTGGGACCTTCTGAGGAGACTAGAGGGAAATGGTACGTATATACTGAGCATTTTGAACTTTGTTATTGCAAGTGACATTAAGGAAGAGAAAAAAGTGCCAATATTTTTAAGTGTTGTAGGGGCTAAGACCTACTCTCTGCTATGCAGTTTGCTGCTCTCTATTATGCCAGAGACCAAATCTTAGAGACATTGTAGAAATCCTGGCATCACATTATGCTCCAAAACCATTGGTAATTGCAGAAAGGTATAAGTTCCATAACAGAGTCATCCTCCCCCACCCCCCAAAAAGTGAAACAATTGTATAATTTGTAGCAAATTTGAAAAAGCTTGCAGAACACTCAATTTAAGGAGATGTTAATTGACACCATATGTAACAGGTTAGCGTGTGGCCTGCGTGAAGCTATATGGATCCATCTATTAACAGAGCTCAGCTCACTCTATAGAAGGCCGTTGATATTGCGGTTTCCATGGAACTGGCCATGCAGGAGGCACAATACCTCGGTGCACTGACTAGGGTGTATATAAAGCGTCCCAAGAACCTACCCAAAAAACTATGGGGAGCCAGGAATGTTACCGCTGTGGTAAGCCAGGTCATCATGCATCAGAATGCTGGTGTAAGGACCTAGCGTGTTGATAGTGTAGGAAAAAAAAAAAAAAGGACATACTGATCGATATGTTAAAGAAACCTGCTGCTGTTATTGAAGAGGATCTGAGAAATATGAGGGGAATCACTGAAACGGAACACTAAACCCATCAGCCAACCAAAATATCTGAAGGCCAGAACTGTGACATGCGGAAGAAAGATGATTCTATTCAGATTTGTGGAGATTTTAAGGTCACTGTTTACCCAGTGTTGTGTGCAGAGCAATACCCTCTTCCCCGCATCCATGATCTCTTTGCGGGCCTGGCTGGAAGGACAAAAGTTCAGCAAGATTGATCTGAGTCAAGCACATTTACAGATGCACGTCGATGAGACGTCCCAAGAGCTATTAACTACTGTGAGCATAAAGGGCTTTATTGCTACTATCGCTTACTCTTCGGAATAACTTCTGCTCCATTTTGTTCCACTACTGCTGAGAGTACTATCCAAAAAAATACAGGGAATCTTTTGTTGTTTTGCTCTTCCAGAACAACTTGTCCATAGTTCGTCTCTCAGGAGTTTGGAAGTTTTATGAAAGCAAATGGGATCCAGGACATCTCTTCAGCACTGTATCACCCACCCATGAATGGATTGTCTGAAAGGTTTGGGCAGACTATGAAACAAGCTTTGAAAATCGGCTAGAGGACACTCACTCACGCAAAAGCATCTGGACACCTTCTTACTATCCTACAGAAACACTCCTCATGCTACAACCAAAATGTCCCATCATTAGAAAAGCCGGGGTCATCAGCTGCCCGCTTGCTTTGATTTGCTGAAACCTTCTGAACCATGACAAATTGTGCAACGTCAACACCAAGGTCAAGTCATCAGGCGTGAATCCAGAGCAAAAGACCAAACCGTTAGTCCTGGAGAGCTAGTTTTGGCTCAGAACTATGCTCCTGGAGCTAAATGGATCTCCGCCACTATTATTGCTACATGAGGGCTACATCTACAATGCAAGATTTTTGCACTAGAACCGTTTTGTGCAAGAGTTCTTCCGCAAAAGGTCTTGAACAAGACGACACACGCACTGCCATGTGCTTTTGCGCAAGAGCATCCATGGCAGTGTGGACTATCCTTTGCGCAAGAAAGCTCTGATGGCCCTTTTAGCCATAGGGTTTTTTTTCCACAAGAAACCCCTGTTGCCTATCCACACTGCCTTTCTTGTAGGGAGAGGAATAACTCCTGCACAGAAGCCCTCTGTTCCTACACCCTACTGTAAATTTACTTGCGCAAGAATATGCGTGCAGTGTAAACGCTCCGCAAGTTTTTGCGCAAGAACGGCCATTCCTGAGCAAGAAGCCTGCAGCGTAGAAATAGCCAACCTGTTCCCTATACTGTCAGTACTGCAGACGATCTCATCTGGTGGCAGCATGGAGATCAGTTATTGACAGATTATGCCTGCCCCCCCCCCAGACATCTCCAGTTGAGCTGCCCGTCCTCCCCACAGCCAGTGAGCTACTGCATCAAGAATCACATGTTCCTGACTCTCCTCCTTCATCACCGCCTGAGGCAAACATAAACCCCCTCCTGAGCAGGCTGATCCGACAGCCTCACCTGTTTGCACTTCAAGTTCGCAGCCCATTGTCAGGCCTGCACCCATAACACCTTCAGATGCAAGAATGCCAGATGCCTATCATAATCCACCTAAAGAAAGGCGGCCTCCTCTACAGCTGGGACCTTTAGTTGAGGTTAACTCACAGATGGGGCAAAATAATGCCGAAGGTTAGCTGGGAACTTGAGGCAGTTTATTCTCATTCCATAGTTAGTGTTTGTTTTATTAAAGGGACGTTCTTATTAAGAAGGGAGGAATATGTTGTGTACTGGGTTGTAGATACAGATCTCGTTGTTATAGTAACTGAGTTAGGTCATTAGGAGGTCAACCCAGCTAGTCTGGGCTGGCTCTAGTTAGTTCCCTGATGAAATAAAATGGACACTTGCAACTGCTCAAGCTGTTTGCGTTTCCACTGATTTCTTCCTAAACTGTGGAACTCCACATGCTATAACTGAAGACATTTCTTGCATACACGTGGGAGAACCATGCAATCAAAAAAGTGCTACTAAGGTCTGGCTGCTGCTATTTAATGCACAGATTTTCTGTGCTCTCTCATTCAGAGTTGGCATAAAAATCTGGTGTTTACATATTTACCATCACCACGCACCTGGGTGCCATATTTTATTCTCATTCCCAACTCTGTCAATCTTAGGCAAGATACCAACTTGTACACTGGTATTCCTGCACATAAACTGAGGGCACTATTGTTGCAAGTATGTAGATGTATTGTGAAGTTTAAAGCTATCATAACAAAAAGCATTGTAATAAAATTGGGAATAGATTAGACATAAAAGGCATGTCCTTTTGAAATTATGCGTAAAAGTATTATTACAATTAACCTGAATTTTACATTATAGAATTCAGATTCCTTTGAATTTAACCACATGCACTTTAGCAAGATACTAAATTCTTAATCCTCCTTATAGCTTTTTAAGTGACATAATTCCATTAGTTTAGGCAGTTTACAGTGAGGTTTCAATGACAAAAAGAATAAAGTTAGGAAAAAACCCTAGCCCCTCCCCCCTTTAAACAAGTCACAGAGCAGGATGTCAACTGAATCCTAGAAATTTTAACAGCGTGATGAGAGATTCATAGTTCCCCACAAATGTGATTTTTCAAAAGCAAAAAGCTCTCAACATCTAATTTCTTACCAACCTTATTAAAAAGGAAGGCTCTCCCTGTGGCTCCTGTAAAGCGAGTTGATATGAGCTCAGAGCGGTTGGTCAGGATTGTATCACAGTTTGCACAGGAAAACAGGCGAGTGCCACCAATATGGTCCAGGAAAATTCTGCCCATTGTTAAGTTTAGACTCAAGACCTGAAATTAAACAGAGATATTCCATCCATACAGCAAATTCACATACAACGTCCTCTGACATATGACCCGAACATATTGCTGGCCAATTCAGCTGAAGAATATACAAACTCTTAATAGATCATAAAGTACTGAATTTACAGTTTACGTTATCATTTATTTCCTTAACCCTGATGGAAATAAAGAGACTAAGAACATAACCAAAATGAGAAAGTTCTCAAATTGTTTTTTGTTTTTTATTCCATTAAAATATTATAATTTTCAGGAATGTGTTATGAAGAATTCAGTAAACATCCAGCTAGCAGATCAGAACTCTAAAATATCCCTGTTAACTAAATCTCTCCCTCCAACTTAAGTCAATATCATTAAGTTTATACCCCCCACACAGAGCACAGAAGCCACGAACCACCTCAGCTCTTAATTTCCTTGCTTGTATGTGCTCAAGATGAACCCTTAATTTTAAAACAAGATTTTTCCTTCAGATTTTTAATAAAATATAAAACTATTTTTTTAAAGTGACCAGTCATCAGTGACACTTGCATGTTACCATAGCTACACCATCATGTCAGTATAGATATTTGACATTTCAATAACACACAAGGATTTCTCTGACGTTGTTCAGACTTGATAATTCAATGGATACAATAACTGAATCGTCTGTGCACTGGATATGAAAATCTTACCCACTCAGTGGCCTGAGACAATTCAAGGAGGACCAAAATGGTGCCAATGCACGATTGCATGCATAACATTGGTGCCTGGATACGTAATATAGTAGATAGAAGCTGAATTCAGGCACGGCATCATGCTGGTAGGGAGAGGGAGATGGTGGACAACCAATGTTACCAGACCAGAGATTCCCAGTTTCTGGAGGTACAACCTGTACTCACAATTGTAAATGCTACCCACATGCATAACTCAATGCAGGATCAGGGCCTTGAGCAAAACCAAAACAAGGTTTTGAAGAGCCAGGCAATGTAAAGCAAAGAGGAACGATTTCAGGGTAGGGGGACTCTGCTTTTACTAGGTATTTCGTATGGCACTTTGAACAGTGAAGCCTCAGCATGATTACTGTAATCAGGTGTAGAAATAGCCAACCTGTTCCCTATACTGTCAGTACTGCAGACGATCTCATCTGGTGGCAGCATGGAGATCAGTTATTGACAGATTATGCCTGCCCCCCCCCCAGACAACTCCAGTTGAGCTGCCCGTCCTCCCCACAGCCAGTGAGCTACTGCATCAAGAATCACATGTTCCTGACTCTCCTCCTTCATCACCGCCTGAGGCAAACATAAACCCCCTCCTGAGCAGGCTGATCCGACAGCCTCACCTGTTTGCACTTCAAGTTCGCAGCCCATTGTCAGGCCTGCACCCATAACACCTTCAGATGCAAGAATGCCAGATGCCTATCATAATCCACCTAAAGAAAGGCGGCCTCCTCTACAGCTGGGACCTTTAGTTGAGGTTAACTCACAGATGGGGCAAAATAATGCCGAAGGTTAGCTGGGAACTTGAGGCAGTTTATTCTCATTCCATAGTTAGTGTTTGTTTTATTAAAGGGACGTTCTTATTAAGAAGGGAGGAATATGTTGTGTACTGGGTTGTAGATACAGATCTCGTTGTTATAGTAACTGAGTTAGGTCATTAGGAGGTCAACCCAGCTAGTCTGGGCTGGCTCTAGTTAGTTCCCTGATGAAATAAAATGGACACTTGCAACTGCTCAAGCTGTTTGCGTTTCCACTGATTTCTTCCTAAACTGTGGAACTCCACATGCTATAACTGAAGACATTTCTTGCATACACGTGGGAGAACCATGCAATCAAAAAAGTGCTACTAAGGTCTGGCTGCTGCTATTTAATGCACAGATTTTCTGTGCTCTCTCATTCAGAGTTGGCATAAAAATCTGGTGTTTACATATTTACCATCACCACGCACCTGGGTGCCATATTTTATTCTCATTCCCAACTCTGTCAATCTTAGGCAAGATACCAACTTGTACACTGGTATTCCTGCACATAAACTGAGGGCACTATTGTTGCAAGTATGTAGATGTATTGTGAAGTTTAAAGCTATCATAACAAAAAGCATTGTAATAAAATTGGGAATAGATTAGACATAAAAGGCATGTCCTTTTGAAATTATGCGTAAAAGTATTATTACAATTAACCTGAATTTTACATTATAGAATTCAGATTCCTTTGAATTTAACCACATGCACTTTAGCAAGATACTAAATTCTTAATCCTCCTTATAGCTTTTTAAGTGACATAATTCCATTAGTTTAGGCAGTTTACAGTGAGGTTTCAATGACAAAAAGAATAAAGTTAGGAAAAAACCCTAGCCCCTCCCCCCTTTAAACAAGTCACAGAGCAGGATGTCAACTGAATCCTAGAAATTTTAACAGCGTGATGAGAGATTCATAGTTCCCCACAAATGTGATTTTTCAAAAGCAAAAAGCTCTCAACATCTAATTTCTTACCAACCTTATTAAAAAGGAAGGCTCTCCCTGTGGCTCCTGTAAAGCGAGTTGATATGAGCTCAGAGCGGTTGGTCAGGATTGTATCACAGTTTGCACAGGAAAACAGGCGAGTGCCACCAATATGGTCCAGGAAAATTCTGCCCATTGTTAAGTTTAGACTCAAGACCTGAAATTAAACAGAGATATTCCATCCATACAGCAAATTCACATACAACGTCCTCTGACATATGACCCGAACATATTGCTGGCCAATTCAGCTGAAGAATATACAAACTCTTAATAGATCATAAAGTACTGAATTTACAGTTTACGTTATCATTTATTTCCTTAACCCTGATGGAAATAAAGAGACTAAGAACATAACCAAAATGAGAAAGTTCTCAAATTGTTTTTTGTTTTTTATTCCATTAAAATATTATAATTTTCAGGAATGTGTTATGAAGAATTCAGTAAACATCCAGCTAGCAGATCAGAACTCTAAAATATCCCTGTTAACTAAATCTCTCCCTCCAACTTAAGTCAATATCATTAAGTTTATACCCCCCACACAGAGCACAGAAGCCACGAACCACCTCAGCTCTTAATTTCCTTGCTTGTATGTGCTCAAGATGAACCCTTAATTTTAAAACAAGATTTTTCCTTCAGATTTTTAATAAAATATAAAACTATTTTTTTAAAGTGACCAGTCATCAGTGACACTTGCATGTTACCATAGCTACACCATCATGTCAGTATAGATATTTGACATTTCAATAACACACAAGGATTTCTCTGACGTTGTTCAGACTTGATAATTCAATGGATACAATAACTGAATCGTCTGTGCACTGGATATGAAAATCTTACCCACTCAGTGGCCTGAGACAATTCAAGGAGGACCAAAATGGTGCCAATGCACGATTGCATGCATAACATTGGTGCCTGGATACGTAATATAGTAGATAGAAGCTGAATTCAGGCACGGCATCATGCTGGTAGGGAGAGGGAGATGGTGGACAACCAATGTTACCAGACCAGAGATTCCCAGTTTCTGGAGGTACAACCTGTACTCACAATTGTAAATGCTACCCACATGCATAACTCAATGCAGGATCAGGGCCTTGAGCAAAACCAAAACAAGGTTTTGAAGAGCCAGGCAATGTAAAGCAAAGAGGAACGATTTCAGGGTAGGGGGACTCTGCTTTTACTAGGTATTTCGTATGGCACTTTGAACAGTGAAGCCTCAGCATGATTACTGTAATCAGGTTGTCTTCAGTGTATAAAGTTAGAGTAATTATGATGTGGCCTTCCAACACTTGTAGTTCTGGAAAAGTATTCAATACTACAGGCAGTCCCCGAGTTACGCGGATCTGACTTATGTCGGATCCGCAGTTACGAACGGGGCACTTCCTCTCCCTGGTCTCGAGCAGACCAGGGAGAGGAAGCAAAGCGGCGGAACTCGCAGCTGGCCACGTGCTCCGCTCTGCTC